CGGAGTGGTTGGCCAACGCTGTGGCGCACGACATGTATCAGTACCAGGTCAACGAAGCCGCCTTCCAGACTGAGTATCAGCACCTATTTCCGTCGCGCAGAATTTTGGGGGAGCGTGGTCGTGACCCTGATCGTGACGGACGCGACGGCAGACGCGACGGCCGCCGGCAAGTTCGCTTCGAGGACGAGGGCAACGCGGACGGCGAGCTCGACGAGTTCCTTGATGCGCTCGGAAATGAGGAACAGTTGCCGGACGAACAGGAAGACGAGACGATGGTCGGTCGAGAGCTAAGAGATCTTCAAGTACGGAGCCAAGTTCCGGAGAACGAAGAGTCCGACAACCTTGTTGAGCCTCCTCCCGAGCTGCGCCGAGAGCTCTATCGGATCCACCGGAACCTTGGACACCCCGATGACCAGACCTTCTGCCGAGCTCTGAGACATGCGGGTGTCAAGCTGGACATCATCAAATGGGTGAAGAAGAAGTTCGAATGTCCAATTTGTCAACGGCGGAAGAGGCCGGGGACACACCGACCGGCACATCTCAGCCGCCAGATGGAGTTTAATGCCGTGGTGGGCATCGACCTGGTGTTCTACCGGCTACCAGCAAGCCATCATTGTAAGCAACAAGGAGAGCGGCAATGTGGCCAAGGCGGTGCTTGGAGGATGGCACAAGTTCTTTGGACCTCCGGCCATGGTGGTTGTGGACCAGGGGAAGGAGTTTGCTTCTCGAACGTTCTCCGAGGCCATCGGAGAGTGGGGGACCGTCGTCCATTTTGTGGACGTCAGATCCCCATGGCAAAACAGTAGAACCGAACGTGCAGGCGCGCCCCTGAAGACCGTCATCAACAAGATCTTGGACGAACGCACCGCCTGCTCCCCTGAAGAATTCTCAATGGCTGTAGATGCTGCCGTATGGTGTCGAAATCAATACTTCGACCGATCCGGCTTCTCACCCCCTTCAGAGGGTCTTTGGCAAAAGTATGAGGACGCCGTACGCACTACTTTCGGATGATGCCATGGACCACGACCTGGTGAACCACGTGCACTCCGATGACATGCGCAAGGCCCAGGCGGTACGCAACAAAACTCTTCAAGCGTGGGCCGGGACACAAGACGAGTCGGCGATCAAGAGAGCCGTTTCTACGAGGACGCGGACCACTGACCAAAAGGAGCTGGTCAATGGTGACACGGTCTACGTGTGGAGACACACGGTGGACTACGTTGGATGGGTTGGACCGGGCGTGGTGGTCAACCAGACCGACAATGGCCGGTCCCTGTGGATCAGTTTG